TAATCGGGATGGGTGTGTCAGAGGCGGTGCGGTTGGCGCAGGATAGAGCAGGGTTTAGGGCTGTTGTGCATAGGGTTGCTATGAGTCGGAATCGACTCGACGGCACATAACAACAACACCTGTAGGTCCAGCATTCCTTGGAGGTCCTCGCTTGTCCCAGTCTTCCCCTTATTGAGGAGCTTCCTAATGCAGAGATCTGAGTCCCAACAGACTCAGCAATTAGTAATTAAGATTCAACTCTTAGGAATGAAACCCTCTCCCATCCTACTCTACCCCAGGCTCTATTTCTTCCTTTTTCATTTCCTGTGAGAAGAAGGTGTTACTGGCCACACCCTAGAGAAACTCCCAGTACATGAGATGAGGGCTATAATGGAATTAAGGGGTGTCACATTCCACCCTGAATCCTTTCATGTCTACCTGATTTATCAGATCATAGGAATGATTCCAGAGCTTCTCTATATCATTTGTCCTGTTAGATACCTTCACGAGGATTTACAGGATCCCTGTCGTATGCCATTTTCATGATCTCCCTTATCCTCAAGTGCATTGAGTCACTGTGTTAATCCATCTCAATGAGGGTCTTCCTTTCTGGGCCTTTCAGACAACATGTGAGGAAAAGTTTCATGATCCTTGTCTCTAAGGAGCTCCCTGGTTGTACTTCTTCCAAGAAAGGCTTGTTCTTTTGGCAGTTGACGGGATATTCAGTACTCTAGTAGATGTGTAGTCACAGGGAGCCGCACTGTTAGTTCAAAGCTGGCTGGTTTGAATTCATGTGGTTCCAAGGGTGGAAGTTGGACCATATCCTCTTGTGCAGTCGACAACTTCTGAAACTCTACTACAGAGTCAGCTATGAGTCAGCTCTGGCACAGTGGCAATGAGTTGAGTTGCCTTCTCCAACACCTTGATTTTTCTGTCTTCTTTATTCATTATCCAGCTTTCTGATGCATATGTTGTTGTTAGGTGCTGAGAAGTCATGCACCTACCATTTTGAGTCATTTGCTATCTTGATGTATGTGTTGCTGTTGTGTACCATTGAGTAGGAACTGACCTATAGCTGACCCCCCAGAGGGTTTTCAGATGTTGTAGTCATACAGGAGAAAGGAGGTTGCCTATCCTTCTCCCATGGAGCTGTTGGTGAGTTTGGACCGTGTGCCTTTGGGATTGCAGCAAAGAGATTTACCACGAGGCCACAAGAGCTTACTTTGCATAGAAGGAGATTCCCCTTCTTTCTCCTGCAGAGCAGCTAGTAAATTTGAACCATATACCTTATGCAATAGTAGTGCAATTCCTGACCACTAAGCCAAAATACATGATTCAATCTATGACATCCACTTTTCCGGGAAACTCAGTGAAGTACTTCTGAGAAGCATCAGGCAGGGATGGAGCTGGGTCACTAGGTCCATGAGCAACTATTTCTATTTCAGGTACATAAGAATTGGGAAAGGGTCTAACAGCAGATGCGCTAGTAAAATGGGCCCAGACATGGAAAAGGGATGCCCTGCTGCTTCTGCTTTGCAGAGTGCTTTTCCGTTTCATCCCTAGTTTCAGCAGTTTTCTGAACAGAAACACTGGAACTTGGAAGTTATAATCTTGAATTGTAGATTATCTATAAAGTGGCTGCTAAAATATTTCAGTTTCACATCTGATACCTCATTGCACCATTATCTGAGTGACTGAAAAGTAAAAATACGACCTAAGCTGAAGCAAACACATTTGATGTCTTGGTTTCATTTTCTTCATATGTTTTATTAGTTAGAACAAACAGTCAAATATATAAAGATAAAAATCAAGCCATTCATCAGAACAATTTTTTGTTGGTTTTTGTAAAAATGTGATTAAATATATAAGTATGCTTATAAAAACAAGAGAATCAATACTTGAGTATTCCAAATGCTGTAAGTTTCCTCCCTTCTCATTTTAATCATTCATTTAAACCCATATAATCATTATATAAAGTAACTAAATGTATGATTCAGGATATGTTTCTTCATAATGGTTTGAAAATTTGTGGTACTTGCATTTCAATTAGGTGTCTATAAAGATTCCCTCTGTGCTAATCACATAATTAGGAAAAAAAAATATATAAGTAATGCTATGATGGAAATGTCAAATATTTAGTATAGAGGACAATTGAAGTTTATATATTAAGAATAAGACATATTTCATTTAATTGCAATGTATGTTTTCTTCTAAGCCAGCAAATACATTTTGCAGTCAGCAGCAAATTCAAGCTGTATGTTATTAATGATCACTCAGCTCGCTTTAAGTATATAATCTGTATTACATTAAAAAAACCCTTATTTAGGTAACTGCTTTAAACATTTTGTAGACTCAAGTACTTCTTAAAAGTTTTCTGTTATTGATTTTCAAATCTTCTTTGTAGGTATAAGCTTCTCGGGAAGCCAAGAATAATCATGCTTCCTACCAGTTGGTCTTTACCTTTGATAACCCCCCTGTGGCTATTATACCGGCCTGTCAATAAGCATTTATTGAGAACCTGCTGTGGGCTAAGGCCTATTCAGCCTCCAGAAGCAAACACTGTAGAAAAGAAAGATTACATTTGCGTGAAGCAGCTTACATTCAAGCTGGCAATTTTTATGTGTATAAACTGAGTCTGTTGCTAGAGAGCAATGGGAGAAGACTGACTAGCGTTCTCTTACAGAGCAGTTGGTGGATTTGAACCTCTTATCTTTTGATTTACAGTGCAACACACTGTATACTACTCCACTAGAGCAAACACAACAACTCAACTCATCAGCATAGAGTTGGAACCAACTTATAGCTGGCCCTATAGTAGGTTTTTCAGAGACAGTAGATTGCACAGGAGGAGAGTGCTCATCTTTCTCCCCTGAAGCAGCTGGTGAATCTGAGCTGCCTGTCTTTGGGCTAGTAGCAAAACTCCACACTTACTAGGTCACGAGAGCTCCCAGTTTGTGTTTAATTCATTTCCCAGCATCAGTGGAAATTAAAAAAAAAAAAGTTAGGGAAAAACATTGGCTTTGAAACTCCCCTAGACTGATAGACGAAAAAGGCTCCCATTAGCTAACTGGGGGAAAGGAAAGTATCAAATTTGTATAGAATCCAGTAGATTAGTCTCCAAAGGTTTAGCTGTAGGTCAGATAGACAAACAGAAAGAACTGGAAGCTGTTTCTTAATTATTTGCACATAAAGGTAAAATGCATTTTTTAAGAGTAAAATGTCAGGACATTTTTGTGATTTCCTCTCACTAGTAAGACAGGAGGGAGGTTCTTCGTGAGGATTTCCAGCCAAGCCATGTAGAGCAAATCAGATATAGATCCTTTTCTTGCCACTGGAAGGCTCCTGCAAGCATCAGAGAAACAAACAAACAAACAAGGAAATTTAACATTACTCCAGCCAGTAACGTCACTAGTACTTCTTCTTATTTAAGTTTTTACATTTTAATTTATTTTTAATTGATATTTTCATGAAGGTTTATAGAGAGCTTGGATTTCCATTCATTCATTGTTGCACATTTTCCGCCACTAGTACTTCCAAGATTGTTAACAGTTTTCGTTTTCTTGGCTCCACAATCAACACTCTTGGAACGAGCAGCCAGGAAATTAGGAGATGAATTGCATTGGGAAAGTCAGCTGTCAGGGACCTCTCCAGAATACTGAATGTCAGTCTGGAGATTAAGGTGTGCCTGATCCAGGCCATAGTCTTCACAATTGCTTGCAATGCACCAGAGAGCTGAACAATGACTGGGGATGATAGAAAGAGAAATGATGCCTTTGATTTGTGGTTCTGGAGAAGAGTATTGAATATACTATGAACTGCTAGGAGAACAAACAAGTTCATCCTGGAGAGAGTGAAACTGGGCTGCTCTTTGGAGGCAAGAATTCTGAACCTTCATCTGACATGCTTAGGGCATGTTGCAAGGAAGGACCAGTCCTTGGAGAGGGACATCATGTTTGGGAAGATGGAGGGACAGTGCAGGAGAGGAAGATCCTCGATGAGATGGATCGACTCAGTAATTGGGGTGGTGGGAGTAGGTGTGTCAGAGACAATGAGGTTGGCACAGGATAAAGCAGGATACAGGGTCACTAAGAGTCTCAAGCAACTAGATGGCACATAATAACAACAACAGTATTTCTGAGATCTTTAATTGTCAATGGCTTGACACTTTACTACTTTCCTCACATCCTTAAAAAAAGTGAAGGAATTAAAATTATTGGAGTATAGACTTTAAAGATAGTCTGGTTTTGCCAATCCAGAGGAAGACTATTTGAATCCACCTAATGCTCCATGGGAAGAAGATTGACAATCTCCTCCTCTGTAATTTACAACTCCTGAAAACCTGTTGGAGGGTCATTTATGAGTAGATTCCAACTCCATGGCACATAACAAAAACAACAACATAGAGTTTAAGCTGACACATTTCTCAGATGGTATAAAAATCTACAAGCCAGGAAAATAGGCTTAGGTGTTGAGTACTGTTGAGTTGGAACCAATGGCCTGGAATGAGATTGCCCATGTTTCTCCCACAGTGCAGCTGGTAGATTTGAACTATATGCCTTTAGGTTGGCAGTGCAACTTTTACCACCACTATTTTACCAGAGCTCCCAGTGGTCGTAGAGGACAGATAAACATTTCATTCTTCTTTAAATGGAGAATTTTATCAGCTAATTAACCTTCATTTTTTAGTGGAAATTATTTTTCAAAATAGTTTAAATGTTCTGACATTGGAAGAAATCCCAGAAAACAGTTATTTGAACCCTAGAAACCTCTGATGACCTAGAAGGTAAGGAGATCCACTACCAACCCACAGGCAGTTTGTTCAAATCCTCCAGCAAGGAGAAAGATGGACTATTTCCTCTTACACAATTTATATCCTCTGAAAAATCCACTTGGAGAGTCAGCTGTGAAGCAGTCTGACTAGATGGTACCTAACAACAACAATACCCAGTTCAGGACACCATTCTACTGAACCTTAAGAGTGGTAAGATGTTCTTTGAAAACAAACATGGGAAAGTTTATGAGATATATATGTGAAAGTCAGCACTTTTCAAATTTAGCTACCAAGCTTTAAATAAACACACACTGATCCTTACCCTATGGTTAGAGACCTCATGGATAAGTGTGTGGACACCATAGCCTTTGAAGGAATTACTCAAAGAAGAGACCCATGAGTCTAATGGCAGATTTGGTCTTGGTTCAGTAGAAATTCCAGGATCACAGGTACTTGGAGCACAATCTAGAAATGATATGGGTCCTAGGGGGCATGTCCTCCTTATCCTGTAGATGGCACCTAACTAATGGAGGGACAATATTAGGTTTTTAATGTCCATGGGCCCCACTACCAGGGTCCTGGGTGACATTTTTTCTTTCACTTTTAAATCCTACATTATAATGATTTTTTTTTTTTAAACTCTCCATCTGAACACTTGGTCATAAGCTTTTAGACTGACTAGCACATTTACTTTAACATTCCCCTTTAACCTTCTTAAATGTCTACAGTGATACATACAGGACGATTAGATTTGCAGCCCTTGAGTGCTCCTGTAAGAGTTCATTCAGTCGAACTTGGCGGTAACTCTGTGGACAAAAATAAGATTTTGTTGTAGACAGTTCTAGCAGAATATATGAATAAGGATTTATTTTCTGCTTCAAATTATGGATGAACAGAAAACCTCATTCAAGGAGAGCATAATTCCAGCTTTGGAAACTGTAGTTTGAAAAACTCATGGGAAAGCTTAGATATATAAAGAACAAGCTCAAAATGTCATTGTGTTTACTCTCTGCCCTTAAGTTGATTCTGACTTATTGCCACCATGTGGTGGTCTCGTGTTAAGAAGCTGCGCTGTAATCCCAAAGACACTTGGTGCATATTCACCAGTTGCTTTGAAGAAGGATGGAAAATCCTTCCGTACTGTTTACTGCCTCTTAAACCCCCCTGAAAAATCAGCTATGGGTCTGTTCTGGCTTGACAGCACACAACAACAACAACAACAAAAACAACAACTTGGGCTTCCAAGGTTGTAAATATTTCTGGGGGGGGGGTGTTCCCTCCTTTATTTCTAAGGGTGGCTGGTGAATTCAAATCACTGAAATTTCAGTTAGCAGCCCAGTTCATTTTAACACCATATCTCCTAAGCTCCTTCCTTATGCCATAAAATCTCATTAAATTTTAGGAGGGAAACAAACAAACAACATGGATAATAGCAAAAATAAGTTTGAAATGGCTGGTTTGGGAGCAGGTTTAGGGTTGAAGTACACTAACTTCCTCTTCACATTCATTTGAGTTCAGGGAGCTTTGGTGGCTTAGTTTATAGTGAGTTGTGCTATTAACTCAATAGCCACCCTTGCTGACTGCTTGGATCCACCATCTGGGGGAGATTGATGGGCAATCTCTTCCCATGCACTTTACAGCCTTGGAAATCTATTGAAGGGTCGGCGATGGGTCAGTTCTAACTCAAGGACAATGAGCTGAGCCAAACTAAAAGCAGAGATTTGTTCTTAACCTACTTTTCTTTAAGCTCTTTGAAAACATTTTCAGCACAGTTGAAAACTAAGGTGGCTTTTTAATTGAAACTAAAAAAATCACTTGAAGTCTCACTTGGAAAAGTATTTTTCAGGAATAGGAGTAATATTTATTATATTTCCACTGACTTAAAAACCAAGACTAATAAAAATAGAATGATTTGCTCAATTATATGAAAAGTCTTTGTTAGAATTTGGTGGTTTGTTATAGACAGAATTTACGATTTCTAGTTTAGTAAATTTTCCACTAAATCTAGAACACTTTCAGTGTGATTTGCTCTACCTTATTCCAAGTTCAACTCTTATGGCAGTTTATTTAGATTTCACAGTTTAGAGATTCTTATTTTTTTAATGTCCAATTCAGATGCTATCTGACTCTGAGTTCTTGATCTTATCATACTCTTATCTCCAACTTCATTGAGATGGGGTGACTCCTACCTTACTGGACTCTGAAGAATAAAGTCCATTTGTAGCCATCCTGCAACATGTGGCCAATCTTTCATATTCATGAGTTCAACTACATTACATATTTTCTCAGATCCTTTTTAAAATAGCAATTTTGTAGCTAATTTTGATAGTAATTTTCATCAGGGTAAAATCCTTTTTTAATTGTTTTAAAACGAGAGCCAATCTACATTTATCTGTGTCCTTTGTATATATATCAGCTTAAATTATTTTAGAATCCTAGCCTGTCTTTCCTACTTTAAAATTAAATTTGAAAGGACTTCATAATATGTACTTAAAAGCTGATGGCTGATTTAAAACACACACACACACACACACACACACACACACAACTTTGAAAAAAAGAATCTATTTCACATAAAAAAAATAACTTCCTAAATCCTTATATCTATACCATTAATAGGATTGGAAAGCACTAGAGAAATTAAGGAAACCTGGATCCTGAATAATGAGATTGTATAATAGATTTATTACTTTATGGTCTTTAAATAAACCACTGTTTTCTTTTCAGCTAGTTAGACAGTAAAGTAAAAATTAAGGAAAACAAATCCATACCTTTTCCTTGACTGCTTCCAAACCTGCATCTGTAATTTTCCATGGAGTTTCTCTTTTTAATTTCTCAGCAGTTGTTAAGTCTTTGCAGCTTTCATGAAGACGATATGGTTCAATCATCTCTTCAAAGACTTTCCAACTGAAATTAGAATTATAAAGGAAGCCTCACTCTGGGAAACTAACTCATTATTTCACAGATACTTCAGGTATGACTGCTTCTATTGGCTGTGAAACCAGAGCTGAATGTCATGTAAATCTTTTCAGAATTATCTTTGCAGGGAATATACTATGAGTAAAACCATGACTATCATGCAGCTTTCCTACTCAAGGAAGGCCTTATACTTGTTTGAGGTCTTCTTAGCCTCCTAGGTATTAGATCCTGAATTCAAACACTCAAACACAACAATAACAATTATTCTACAAAGATATTTTCTGCACAGCATCATAAAAGATAGTTATAATGTAGACACTTGAGACCACAAATGAGTTTCCATATGCTTATTGTATGGATGCTATAGGAGACATTCATGAATTAATATAGGTCATGAACAAGGTTCTATAGAAGTTGCTTAGGAGCTTGCTCACACGAGGGAGCTGCTGACACACATGCCGAGGAGCAACATGCAGGGGTGGGAGGATGGCTGGAATCTGAATGAGTGTGAGCCCAGGATTCCAGTCCCGTCATTGCTGGCCCATACCTGGAACCCTGGCCCAGAAGCTGCTGGCCCACGTCCAGAATGCCACTTCCAATGCGCACTGTGAGTGACTGAATGTTGAGTGAGATACTTTGTGGGGGGTCACTGATTGTCTGGATCAAGTGGGACACCTTAGACTCAATTAGAAGGGAGTGAGACAGCTGGAGCTAAAACTAAGGCTTCTTGGTTTTCCAGTTAGGTCTCCGTGCTCCAACTTGAGTCTCCTCACATCCAGTCCATCAACTACCTTTAGCCTAGAGCACGGTTTGCTACCCTAGCTGCAACAGTTGTCTGTCAGAGGAGGCTGGTTCCACAGGCCTTTTCTCTGTCAAACTGAGAGAAACCCAGGCAGGCTAGCTGCCCCACCCTTTTCTAGAATATGGCTACCATCTTGGCACTTGGCCAACTCCCTGCCCTGCCCTTCAATATAACTCTGCCCTGAATAGACCTGATTGTGCTCAAGATGAACCTTCACAGCAAAAACAGAGAGACTTCAAGGTCACCATTGCTCACCACCTGCTGCAGATGCTACTGATCTGCGCTGGCCAAACAACTGGCGTCTCATCCCTAAACCCTTGTCCCTGCTGTGGTACTCAGAGATGCCCTCACTGGAAGACCTGTGAGGTCACCACTTGGCTGCCTCTCTCATAGCATGGTGCCTGGTGGGGATAGAGGGCACCCAGCTGGAGGCCCAGAATCCCACAGGCCTCTCGCCCCAGCGCACCCTGACACTTTATGCTGTCATTTAAGATTTCATTCAAATAAAGAGTCCAAGGCTAATGAAACCCCCCAAAAAACCAAGTGAGGTATTAGAGGTTCTGAAAAAACAAGAAAGTACAATCTAAAATATGAGGTTTATTGTTTCAGATGCTGTCAACATTATGGAGGAACACATGAACAGAGTTGAAGAGATAGTTCACCAGTTCAACAAATTGGCAAGATACAAGATCAACATACAAAAATAAATTGGATTTCTGTACAATGACAAAGAGAATAAGGAACTGAAGCTAAGAAAAACAATACCCATCACAATAGCTAATCACAAGATTAAATATTTGGGAGTAAATCTAACTAGAAACACAAGAGACTTATTCAAAGAAAATTACAAAAATTACTACAAGAAACAAGAAGAGACATGGAGAAATGGAAGAATCCCTTGCTCATGGATAGGAAGACTCAATATTGTGAAAATTACAGTCCTACCAAAGGCAATCTACACGTTCAATGCAATCCCAATACAAATACCAATTCCATTCTTCAACAAGATGGAAAAGGCATTCTCCAGTTTCATCTGGAATGGAACAAGACCCCAAATAAGCAAAGTACTACTTAAAAAGAGAAACAAGGTAGGAGGCATCTCACTCCCTGATTTCAAATCCTTTACACTGCTGTGGTGTTCAAGACATGTTTGGTACTGGAACAATGACAGACACATAGATCAATGGAATAGAATTGAGAAGCCAGAAATCAGCCCATGTACCTATGGTCAACTGATTTTTGACAAGGAGATAAAATAAGTGGGGAAACTACAGCCTTTTTAACAAATGATATTGGCAAAATTGGAAAACTATCTGCAGAAAATGCAAACAAAACCCACACCTCACACCATACAAAACAAAAAACAAAAAAAACTCAAAGTGTATCAAGGACCTAGGACTAAAACCAAGGACTATAAACTTCATTAGAGAAAAGCTTGAAGGAACCCTAGAAGCACTAGTCCACAACTTGAACAGTCTTCTAAGCATTCTGAAAAACTTACAACCAGAAAAGGATAAAACAGATGAATGGGACCTTCTAAGAATAAAATCCTTATGCATACCCAAAAACTTCTCCAACAGGATAAAAAGGGAAGCCACAGACTGGGAAAATATATTTGGTAACGACATGTTTGATAAGGGACTTATATCTAGAATTCATAGACTACTTGAATACCACAACAAGATAAAGGTAAACAACTCAGTTGCAAAATGGGCACAGGATATGAACAGACACTTCACCAAAGAAGCCATTCAGATGGCCAACAAACACATGAAGAAATGGTCAAAATCCCTAGATCTAAGAGAGATGTAAATCAAAACAACTATGAGATATGATGTCATCCCAGTAAAAATAGCAAACTTTAACAGAACAGCAAACAACAAATACTGGCAAGGTTTTGGAGAATCTGGAACTCTTATTCACTGTTGATGGGAATGTAAAATGGTGCAACCACTATGGAAGGCAATATGGTGCTTTCTCAAAAAGTTGGAAATAGAAATACCATTTGATCCAACTACTCCACTACTGGGAATATACCCTAAAGAAACCAGCACCGCCACCCAAGGCAGATATATGCTCACCCATATTTATTGCTGCTTTGTTCACAATAACAAAGAGTTGGAAACAACTCAAATGCCTATCAACAAATGAATGGATAGAGAAGCTGTGGTATGTTCACACAATGGAATATTATGCAGCACTAAAAAAAACAAAGAAATCATAAAATATTATACAAAATGTTGACCAAGGAGGACATTATGCTGAGTGAAATATCTCAGTCACAAAAAGACAAATACTGCATAATGCCACTGTTTTAGAACAGAACTGATAGAAGGGTTGGGGGGGGAAACAGAAAAGAGGGGATAAGTAATGTACACAGCATTGAAACCAACGAGGGAGAGAACTGTATAAAGGAATATATGATTAGGTATTATTGGCATTACAAGATTCCAGAATAAAAGTTGCATAATAAAGTGGTCAGAGATTGGGGGGAGGGGCACTGGATAACAATGAAAGAATGTTTATTCCAAAGAAAAAAGCAAACTGGGAGCTATAGGGGACAGGGAGGTAAATGTGCAACAATATATCAATGGAAATCCAAATTCTATATAAACTCTCATTAAAATCTAAAAAAAAAAAGTCTGTTTAAAGGTAAAGGTGCACCAGTCCCAGATCATGGTCTTCTCAATACCTTTCTATGCATGTGAAAATTGAACATTCAATATACATGACAGAGGAATCAAGGTCTTTTAGTTGTGATGCTGGAGAAAAGTATTGAATAGTCCATCAACTGTCAAAAACACAAGCAAATCTACATTGGAGGAAGTGCAAACATGGTATTCCCTAGAGTCAAGGAGAGTGAAACCTGATCTCTTTGGTCATGTTGTCAGGAGGGTGCAATAGCTGGAAAAGGCATCATCCTCAGATTGACAAAGTGACTATAATAATGGACTCAATTAGAGATAGTGAGGATGTCACAGGTTAAAGTCAGGTTCTAATCTCTTGTTCAGAGGGTTGTTATGTGTCATAGTCTATCCAATGGCACCTGACAACAACTACTAAAACAGTAATAGATTAATTGCTTGAAAAAGCAATTTATCTCTAAATGTTTTATAACAACATTTTTGATATCCTTACCCTATTTTTTAAGGAAACTAAATACAAGATAAGTCAGATTATTTATCAAAGGTTTAGTATTTATATAGTTGGTTTATTTGGTTTTTGTGTTTAGCATATGAAGGCATAAGACTATATCAAGATCAGACTTGAGGACCCCTAAATCCTTGCATAATTTTTATAATTAATAAAAGAAAAACAACAATTTTATATAAGACTATTTACAGAAATTGAACGAATCACATTTTTATAATAAAAGATCAAAAAGAGAAAAAAGAAATAATTTATTTGGATAGGGCTAGCTTCATCTTCACCCTACTTGGCATCTCCTACCCATTGCAGGACACTGTGAAGAATAGCGAGGGATCCCATGAGTTTAATGTCTAAGGACCAATTTGGATGTTTGCTGCAAATAATGCTGTCTTTGTCTTTCTGATGCCTAACATCACCTGACCTTTCCAGATGACTAATGTTCGGGTGCACTTAAAGGGAAAGACCAAAAATCAATATGCTCTTAATGACTGAAAATCCTAGGTCATGGCGCAGCAATTAAAAAGAAGCTATTGAGGAGATTATAAAACTGGGAGCAGTAGCTAAGAGCTGTAGAACATTTAAAAAATTGCTGGAAAGTCTCATTCTTGTCTAACTTAAAGATCTCACATTTATTTTTAAAATGATGGCACAAAGGAGAGTTTATAATTTATGGCAATGTCTTCAGTATGCCACTTAAGATGAGCTCAAGTATGAGCAATATTCTTTAGTTTTATATAATGCAACTTACTTGTAACTTAATAACAAAGAGATGAGCAATGATTAGAATCCTGTGCTGCTCAGTTAAAAAACTAAAATATCAAGCAAAGAGTTCAATTATCTCATCAGTTAACCTGATTTAGGATTTGCAAAGAAAAGTGCAGTTTATAAAGGAGGAAGATTGTAACTACCAGTGTGCCTTTGTTAAGAGACTAAAGGGATGCTTAATATTGTAGAATTCTGATGCACTGAATTATTTAGAAATGTAGACAAAGAAAAAGAATTTGACTGATAACATCCTATTATGCTTTCAAGGGCA